ATTTCTCTAGAATATTCGTCAAAGAAAACAAGTCGTCGGCAAGTGTTGCATGTTTCTTTTAAACGACTGTGTAGTTATTTTGATTGAATCTGTGGCTTGAATGTTGTCCTTGATTGAGATCCGAATGTAAGAAATACATGGTTAGCCCTGAAACGGCCAGTTTCTGGTTACAAAAATGACCAGATGAATATTTGTTTATGAGTAAATGTTTTCAAAAAAGGCCTACATAATTAGCATAAAATGACGTAAACGTCGACTTGAGAAAAAGGCTGGATGATCTGGCTGTTAGAAAATACTCCCTTCGATTACTTGTAGTTTCGATCCCAGCGACGTTTGAAAATAATGTTTATGATAAGCTTGGGGACGAAATCAGTGTGCGCTACAAAAGTCACATCATGCTAGTAGCTAAATCTGCACCATCTGAATCGACTACTTCGAACCCTTCAAGCAGTGCCAATTGCTTAAAGTCATTTTAATATAGATATAAACTCGACCATTCACACTGTAGCTGTATTGCCGTAATTTTTTCACTTGCAATTTCGATTAATTTCTGAATATCGACGCAATGGTTCTAAAAGAACGTCTGCCATAAAATGAAATGTATCTTATGCCAGCTGGCTTCCCTTCATAGATTTACAAAACAATGAGAAGGACTGTCCCAGTTTTCCTTACCTTTGTATGCCATACCTCTCGCTCTTAAGCGCACCAAATACTGTATCACTTCGCAATAGAAGGTTAGTTGTTGATTAATACGGTTTTCCAAGAATCTGCAGCCACCAAAGGGAAATTCCCAAGTCGATAATGAATCCGCAATGGAAATTAAGGTCAAGCGACATAAACTTCCGTTTATTCCCAGAAAAAGCCAGTTACACGGAAATCTTAGTTAATTTGAAATATCAATATTTCAACTTAATACGAATGCATACTAGATAACAAAAGAAAACCAGTAACAAAACCAAACCAAATGCAAGTTCCTTCGAATAGTTTTAGTCTTTTACTCTTAGCAGTGAAGAATGAACAAGGGCTCTGGGGACGAGGCAGCGAAACTTTCGATTTCCGGTTGTTTTCTCCGAAAGTATATGACAAAGTTCAGAAGTATCTGCCTACTCGCACCTAGGGCACCTCTACAATATTAAGTTCATTCATGAAGACAATCAAGACAACATTCAACTGTGAAGCGGATAAATGTTAACAGAATACGATGAGTCTTATTAGTCGATATAAATTGGCTGGCACACGTATTAACAAAGGAAAGATTGGACGCAAGTTTAAAAAAATGTAACCTCCCCTCCCTTAATACAAAAGAAAGATGATCCCAGTCATTTCTGGGAAAAGTACTATCAGTTGTCAGCTGACTAGGAATTGAAACCGACTTATCCATACCTCAGTCACCGCTCCAGATACAAGTCTAAAACATTTCAATCTTCATCTGAAAACACTCTGATTGGGTACATATCAACCTGTATTACAGTATGAGTGGTAAGTTTTGAGATTTCTCGGTTTTCCTTTAATAAGTATATTTCAATGAAAACTAATTGGCAACAAGGCGCACTTGTCATACCGGAAGCTTCTTTCGCTTTCAACGAAGGAGCCGGTGCGCTGACAGGCACAGTTCAGTCGCCGAACTTTTCATCAGGCAAGTATATACCTTGAATCAAGACATGAAAAGTTCAGCGTCTGAAACAATTAATAACGGCTATTTGATTTTTGGGAAACGTTGGTAGTTCTTCCCGCTTAGCTCATGCAGTAATTTTGACCTTTGGAATAGCCTGCATACAGATGCCTACTATTTTCCTCGTTTCATGTGTCACTTTTCCGCGTAAAATAAAAGAAACAGTTGACGGTTGTACGCAGATTTCTTTTAGAACGGCTGTAGAATGTTTTGATGCCGAGCATCAGGAATAATGCATAAATTAGCATCAAATATTTGACAACTTTACGATTTGTTTTTTTCTCAACTCCTGATCTGGCTACAATTAATGTCGGAATCTGAAGAAAAGAGCGTACTTTTATTTGTCAGTTGGATCGGCCAAAATTGGAATTAGGTTCAGTCTAAAAAGGGCCTTAATTTGATGGAACAAAATCGAGACCCCAGATAGAAATGATGATCTACAAATATTACCACTAGATACAATGTATAGATCGTTTTCACTGCCATTCGGTGGATAAAGTCAAGAAATTGTGATCCTACAGGAACTAGATAGAGGAGACACTTTTCCAATTTTTACGTTTGTGCGTTTTCCCAGACTGCAGACATTTGACGAAATGTTTCGCAGAAATTTACAAAGCCCAGTATGGAAACG